CAGCTAACCAGTATTTTCGCCCCTTCCCAAAATTACTTCAACGGAAGGTTTCCAGATGGATATGCGGAGCAAATCCATCTGGCGGAGTCAGGTTAGCCATTACCACCAACATGAATAACCATCTTACTGTATTTAAACTTTTCCTTGTTAGCTAGGATTTGATTTAGTCCCTTTCGGCCCCTTGACAAACATTTGATTATGGTCACTGATGTCTTTAATGCCACATTTCTGAATATGGATCCGACAATCACTTCAGCAGAGGCTCTGCTAGAGAGCTCCTATGTGGAGCTACCATCCAAGGCTCTGCTGACTACATTTATTACAAGGACCGTTATCTTTTAAGAGTCAGAGGAGTAGCTATATCTGACATACAGAGTATGTGACAAAACTCAGGCATAAACAGAGTTAAAAATAGAGCAACTGATAGAGAACCTATAAAATGTTTTAGTACATTAGCGTGAATTAGCCTTGTAAACTACCCTCAGACTTATTTTTTAAAAATAAAAGTTTTAAACCCTTCTTATTAAAATTATTCTTTATTAAACTGAGACATCTAATAGGACATAAGAAATAAGATAAAGATAAGAGAATAAGTTTAGTCAGATATTATCCAAAAGCTAACAGGAAGCAACCCCCTGATACAAACTGTAAACCGTAACTTGTTCCAATTGGTAAAAAGGGCTGATTTTATACAAAGGAAAAGAGACACATAATCATAAAATCAAGCAAGAGCTCCATTGTCCGAACCTTCGGTGACCTTTTCATTTCTGGAACTGATGTGACATATCTGCAGCCGAGTGTGCTGAAAACATGAACAGATAGAAAGAAAAACAATATGATGTTAGTGACGCTGATCAGATCTCACACACCAACCTGGACTTTTAAAGAATTCCTTCAATTACAATGAGCCGATCATAGAGGATGATCATGGAACTGTTCAACAATGTATACTCAACAAGTTCATGATCTTATTCTGCTAGTTAAGAAATCGAAAGCTTTTAAAGTAAGCTGTAATGCATTTAGAATCAGTTTAACCCTAAAAGTACACAGCTTAATACAGCATTGTCTTTTCCCTGAGAATTTAAGCACACATCGTTGAACCTGACCTCTGCCTCCCTCCTTTGGTTTAGGTCTCCAAGGAAACATAAACAAGGTTTGAACGAACAATAGGTTCTTTCTTTTGCAAATTGCCCCTGAACAAAGATTTTCTAAGTTCCTGTGAGACAAACAAGTGATGACATCAAGATAGGAGGATCTCTGTTTGCTTTATCTATTAGCTTTTGTGTTCATGCATCCAGCAGCGATCCTTTTGCACAGTTACACTTTAGTTTGATATAATAATAATGATAATAATTGAACTTTATTGATCTCACATTGGAGAAATTGATGTCTGCATTTAACACAACCCCTTGGAGAGCAGTGGGCTGCTATTGTGCGGCACCCAGGAAGCAGTGTGGGTCTTGCTCAGAGACCCAGAGTGCAGGCTGTGGGGATCAAACTGGGTACTTGCAACCTTCTCAGAACAAAAGCGCACTGCTCTAAGCAACTAGACCAACACACATTCCTTCCAATTTCTAACTTTGGAAGTCCAAGTGAGAAATTGCCTTAGACATTCTGAGGCCTGTGGCAGTAGAAACCCTACCAACCAGCCTGAGATCAAACCTAGAACTAGAATTAGCTTCACTGGACATGATCCTGAGCACAAAAGTGGGAAAAAAGCTTTGTTTTAAGAAAATACACTGTATACACATTTTTAAATCTGCCATTTTTAAAAGGCAGGCTGAATACAGAGGCTGTGAGACAGACAGGATAGGAAGCTGCCAGTTCTTACCTGTTGGACCTCCATCCTTAAAAAATGAAAGGAATGACTGCTTTCCTGCAGCGGGGATAATCCTTAAACCTTTGCTGATAATCTCTGGAAAAAAACAGAAGCAGCAAAGAGCAGGTCAGCCCGAGTTCTCCTGGGGTGAGAGCTGAGGGAAGTTTTAATGAAAGTTGGAGCAAATCTACAAACCTCAAAGAGGAAAAAACCTCAGAAACTATTTACTTTATTTCCTCTCAGTCAGAAGAAATTAGATTTTTGGCAATTTCAGGCTTTAAAACATTTTAGAAATATTTATTCCGTCTTCATCGTAGCAGATTATCCGGACCCAGAAGTGGTTCCAGCTGCTATTTGCTCGGATTCTTCTGCAAATACGTCTCCAGCTGTTCATCTGTTCACAGCAGCTTTCGTCCCCCTTCGTCAGTGGGCCTGTTTTTGTTTGTCTCATAACATTAAATTAAAGTCCATCGTCATCACTTTTAGGCTTTTTACAGGGGCGGGGCAGATGGGGGCCAGGGTTGGCCATGGCCTGCCCTAGAAGATGATTTGTTGATCACATGTGGAAGTGAAAATTCATCATCAATGGAACAAACAAACGAATACATTTCCGGTATTTCGATATTTGCTGCAGTTTGCAGTTATAGAGCTGCTTCTCTCCAATAATACTCTTTAAGTAGAAGTTTATCACTAATTTCACATTTTAATTGTTTTCCTTCCTTCCTTCCTTCCTTCCTTCCTTCCTTCCTTCCTTCCTTCCTTCCTTCCTTCCTTCCT